CTTAGCAATTTAAACAGTAAAATGAAGTGATCTCCATGCCAATCTATTATTACGCTTAAATTTATGAAGGTGTGATACCAAAGAGGAAAGCTCATCAAAACAATTAGCATAAAAATATTTACATTATTTACATTATTCGGACTATTGTCCTCATCTTTGTCGCCATATTTATCACAACGTTTCTCCTGAACCGACCAAGCATAGAAATAAATACAATATGGGAACCAGTAATAAGGAGTGCCAGAGAAAAGCAATGATAACAACATAGTTACAATAACATGCAACTGGTAAAAACATGCAATGATAACAGCAAAAATTGCAATATGAGCACTGGTAAAAATGGTTGATGATGACATTAGGTTTATAATACCCAGTTGTCCTCAAGGACACATGGCACAGTGGATAAAGGAGTTGGTTAAATCCAGTGACAGGAACCAAATTGTGTGAGTTCAATACCCGGTTAAGGCAGTGGAGAACATTCAGAGGGGAATTAACAGGAGATAGCTGATAACTGACATCCATCTAGAACATGAAACTAAAACAGTCTACCCCGGTGAGCGAAATAAAGGGTTCAGTTCAACATTCCAACCACCTGAAGAATGTACAACGGCCGAAACGCTGTGATAAATATGGCGACAAAGATGAGGACAATGGTCCGAATAATGTAAATAATAATCTCAGAAATATAGACAGACAATAAAAATATTTATAGAAAAGTTAGAGATCAAGGTAAGATACGGCGGTGGGAAAACGATTGATGCCGAGTTAACATGTCAGGACTAATAATGTAATTTCCACTACTGTACCGATACTTTATGACGTAGATGATTGGCGGCAGGGTTTAATCATTTTTACTGTTGAAATGGCTGGATGTAAGTTCTATGTTAACAATTTCTTGTATCGCGCTTCTCGCTTGCGTGTAGAACTCTCTTTCGCCTTCTTGCTTCCCAGTAAACTTTGATCTTAAAAACTTTAAATTCAGTCTCAATCGTTATATATTCTGTCTTCTTAATTCGTGTTCTTTTATTATCCTCTCTTATTAATTGTATATTTCTCATATTTCTTTGCACTCAGTAACCCCCCCCTGTTGTGTCTTAGTTGCTTTATTGCCTTGCTCGAGGTGAAATGATTAAAAAACAATATGACCGATTCTTTTGAAATTTGAAAGGAATCTCTAGACATGTTTTCAACTTGATTTTTCACAATTATGTCTATTTCTTCTTCTTATTATTATTATTATTATTATTATTATTATTATTATTATTGGTGCTGATGTTATTTCTGCTGCTGATGCTTAATTTTAAGGTATGGTCATAATAGCTACTTCCATATAATTATTCCTACTTCTATTACTACTTCCAGAACAAATCGTGTGTTGCAATTCTTCCGATGAAGATGTTCGGGTAACTATTTATAAAGAAAAAAATATCACCACTGGATAATTTATGGATGAAAAGAGTCAAATTTATTTCGAGAAACATGCTCGAAGCTAATGTGAGCTCGATTAGCGAACAAACAAGAAAATTGAATAATAAAGGTACATAAAATATTCGTTTAGCTCATCACCGCGATTGGAATGAAGAAAGGTTTGGAAACAGTATTTGCAAGTTTTATTGAGAGAGGAAAAAAAAAAGAAATATTCATATTTATTCATAACTTTTATTCTTTTTTAACTTGTCGTGATCTTATGAATTCAGTCGTCACGAGTTCAAATTTACACGACAGCATCATGCAATTGGACACGCTTCCGACCAACTCCATGTCTCGTGCAGTCAGTGCAATCCATAGATATATTACCAATTGCAATTAAGCACAAATTGCTTTTGCCTTCATTTATAACGCTTCGCGCCGTTGAGTTATGTTTCAAAATCTAGTTAAGCTGGAGTTCTCAATATGAGGTGGGGAATTCCCCTGCACCAGGGGGTGTATTTCAAGTTTTCAGTGGGCGGGTAATATATTTTACTTTTTGTTTACAGAGTTTTGTTTATTGAATTACAATATGCTGGCATTCTATTGTAAATTTTGTTTATTGACGGTGTAACGACAAAAGTACGCAGGTGTAGGCGTCAAGAAAGCTTTATTCAACTGCGAATACAAGGTTCGCGTATAGTGTCCTTTTATAGTCCCATTAAACAGAAATAGCTCTGCCAAAGTGGAGAATAACAAAACAAGGGGAGACCACTCTTGATTATTCATAACAGCGTGCTCATTTTATTTATATAAGAATTAGTTATGAATCAAAACAAATTAACTGTACATGTATTTACGTTCAAAAATCCATAAACATTAGCCATTGCTATTAAAATTTTCTAAAACTCCTCTATAAAAAATAAGTCATGCATCCTGTCATCAACATGGCTGATGCTAACCTTCTAGAGAGGTCTTCTTGGCTAATATTCTCGGATGACATGAAGTGGAAAGACAGAAATTTGGTTCAATGTTTTGTGCTAGATAATTCTTTCCTCTAGAATCTATTTTACATATCTTTAAGTTTACCATCCATCCACACTTTAAAAAAATTGTTCTCATGTATGGTCCCGTAATCCTGTTATATATCTAGAGATCCTTGATAAAATCCAAAGAATAATCAGCAATATTATTGGTCCTGATCTGGCATCTCAGTTTCAGTCACTTTTCCACCGCCGTAAAATTACGTCCCTGTGCCTTTTCTATAGATACTTTCATGGTAGTTATTCGGATGAGATCTTTGCTATGGTACTTAACCTTTAGAAATTTAAGCGCAAGACAAGACTGGAGTCGAGATCTCATCAATTTACAGTTGAGTTGGCTAGATGTAAGTTTTTTGTTGTTTTTTTTTTTTCTCGCATTTCCCACTCGTGGAAGCCTCTTCTTGCTCCATGCTTTCCAGCCAACCTTAATTTTAAAAATTTAAATACAATAGCTATCTAGTGCCCTCCTGATTACACTTCTTTTGTTCTTGCGCCTTAGTAATTTTGTTTCTATTTCTTCCACATCCAGTAACCCAATGTATGTTAGTGGCTTTATTGCCTTGCTTGAGGTGAACTCGAAAATAAAATGTAAATGCACTTATATGGAAAAGAACGAGGTCACCTCAAGGTGGTGTAATGGTTAGCAAGCTTGTCTCGCTAGAACAATTATGACTGAGTAATGAGTTCGATCCTCACTGGGTGCCCCCTACTTTCGGCCTCTATGGACTATATATATATATATATATATATATATATATATATATATATATATATATATTCCACTATATGAAAAAAAAATGAAGATTTTCAATAATCTCTTTATATTCTTTGGAATATGCCGTTCGAGCTAGACAATTCAGGAAACACGCGGAATGAGAGTCTGATGTAAAGTGAAAAGGATGCACTGAGCATAAATGTTTGAGAACTACTGAGCTGAGCCGTGACTACAAAAATGAATATGAGCTTCTTTAGTCAATTGAAACACTTATCAAAAGTCTATTTTCCGCTCGACACCAAATGCTTAAATCGAAAAAAAAAACAAAATATACCGCTATAAATTGTTATCGACATTTGCAAACTAATATTTCTGAGAGGGTGAAGTGAACTAAATAATCAACATTTGTCACCTGATCCAGCTTCACTTACTGTGATTTTCTAAGTGATGCTTAGATGTGACACATAGTCGGAAGTATAGGGCACCCAGTGAGGATCGAACTCACTACTCAGTCGTAACTGATCTAGCAAGACAAGCTTTCTAACCATTGCACTACATCGAGGTACCATTAGTGATATCTCCAAGCCTAGGTTACACAAGGCCGAAAGTATGGGCACCCAGTGAGGATCGAACTCATTACTCAGTCACAATCGTTCTAGCGAGACAAGCTTGCTAACCATTACACCGCCCCGAGGTTCCCAAAAACATTTTCTAAGCGTAGCTTAGATGTGGCACAAGGCCGAAAGTGTGCTACCCAGTGAGAATCGAACTCACTATTCGGTCATAATAGATCCAGCGCGACAAGCGTGTTAACCATTACATATGTCGAGGGGACCCCAGCTTCACTTATACAAGTCAACAAAATGTTCAATTACAATAAGCTACTTGTAAAATCTAACTACTTATTTCGCTGTTTTCCAAGTGTAGCTTAGATGTGGAACAAGGCCGAAAGTATGGCGCACACAGTGAGGATCGAACTCACTATTTAGTCGTAAATGGTCTAGTGAGGCAAGCTTGCTAACCATTACACCGCCCTAAGGTTCCCCAATAAGATTTTCTAAGCGTAGCATACATGTGGCACAAGGCCGAATGTGTGGCCTACCCAGTGAGGATCGAACTCACAATTCAGTCTTAATAGATCTAGTACGACTATCTTGTTAACCATTATACATGTCGAGGTGTCCCCAGCTTCACTTATACACGTCAACAAAATAACCAATTGCAATAAGCTACTTGTAAAATCGAACTACTTATTTATTTCGCCGAAATGCATAACTCTCCCATGAAAGTAATCAACTCTTTCTCTGTTAACTTTCATTTTTACGTAACCAGCATATTTTCTTTTTTATCAAGGCCGCCGAGAATTTTAATCACGCGCTAACTGTACTTCTTTTTGTTATAATGGCTCAATACTAAAACATGTCATTCTTCGGTAAGCTTTCTATATCTATGCAGGTAGACATTAATTTCACAGTTTAGAAAAAAAAAACAGAGCCGTCTCCCCAAACATGTGTAGCCACTAAAATAACATTTACAGTAATAAGCGTCTTCTTTATGAAATTTATATTGATTGATTCGTTTTTTTACGGTTTATCAACCCCTTGCCAGTTAGTTTAAGCCAGATAATATTTTTAAATTGTAAGAATTTTGATGGGAGAGAATATAACGATTTTGCGATACAAGTTTTACTAATTAACCCATAGCTGGGGGGAAGAAGAGATGGATTCATACCTTTTCTAAGGGTATCTGTGCGTAAGTGAATGTAATGGATTCGACTGGAATTGAAACACGGCTCGCCGATTAACAATTCAGAGCCATTATTCTTTCGCACATCAAGCACCTAGTATTCTCAAGCAGTTACCCATATCGGTACTAACCAGGCTCGACGTTGCTTAACTTCAGTGATTCGTAAGGGAAGGGATGTTTCAGCGTTATTTAGCTGACAGCCAATATTTAATTGTATCCCTTGTAAAAAAGCCCGGGAAAAAAAAAAAACTGTACTTGAAATTTTATAAAGTATAAATCAATGAGTTTTCTTATTTTGTATCTCTTTTGGGACACAAACACATTCTAGACCTAAAGTCGTCCTCACATATAAGATCCTGGGAAAATGATCGGGTCCTTGTACCCCTTCAGAAATTGCCTCGTTCCTGAACGAGTGTTTCAACGTAAAATGGCTGTAACCCGTTATGAAATTCAAAATTCGCTTTTGGTCTTCTACTCACATTTTTAACATCTTAATCCCTTCGCTGGAGTAAATTTGTATATATAAGCTTTGACCAAAAGTGTCTTTTTTTCCGATTCCGACGAATAAAGACGTCCGAAACATAACGTTCAAAAACTAGCTACAACTACGTCGATCTTGATTTATGGTCTTCGGAACTTGAAACGAACCCACTTGTCAACTCATACCTCTTAAAGAAGTGTTAGTCAACGTTCGGATAATTAAGGTGCCTCAGTTTCTTCGTTACAATATCAAAAACAAATAAAAAAAATTCGTCTAAAAATGAATGGTTTTTCGCAAAATATGTCGAAACTTCTTTATTTTCTTTCGTCTTCAATATTAGGAGTAATAAGTAAAATTTGTCATTTTAAAATTAAAATAGAAAACAGGACGTTGATATGACAGCTGCCGCGATACAATAAAAAAAAACGATCATTTCGATTTAAGTTAGTTAATACTAAATGCGCCTAGAGCCATTGAAGGTCAAATACAGAGATAAATCTTTAGGCAACAGAGTAATTCTTTTGTAATAAATTTACATATATTAAGGCAATTTTCTGTGTTCCGTGTCCTTTCACGACGTTGGTAATCATGGCTCACCACAATTTCCTATTCTTTATAGCTCTTAATAAATGTTGTGTTTTATCTCCTAAAACTCCATTTACTCAAGCTCATGAGGTAGGTTATGCTTTTATTTCTCTGTTCCTCTTGCCTTCAGTCTATCCTGTGAGCATCAAATTTTCCAGGCCCTCTTTCCTCATATTATACAAATATTTATAATATACCTGGAAATCGTCCGCATTTTATTTCTAATTTTTTCGCATACGTGTTCTATGCTTTTTATTTTGTCGACTGCACTGGATATTAGAGTCAGTTGGGTACCCCCTGTAAGAAAAAGAGTACCATAACGCAATTCACTCTACCAAAAGTTTGGAAAAAGCATGCTGTAATGCTTGGCATCCGCGTCGGGAGCTCAAATACGAACATTTCAGAGTGTTTAGGTGTCAATCTAAGGACAGTGCAGCTAGGATTTGATAATAAAAGAACCTCTTTTTTTTTTTTTGGATGAGTGCCCCAGACTCAACACAGGGACCTAATTCGAGTGCCTTGAGGATTTAGTGCTGCGCTAGGTCAAGGAAACAGGACTCTGCGCCATGCCACACAACAGGAAAACCCAGTCACAGCTGTGAGACAATTTCTGCAACCGCATCACCCCCTTACATCTGGCCACCTAACTCCCCAGACTGCAAGCCCTTTGATTATTAGATGTGAGCGAGAGACCAACGAAACTCCTTGAAACATATATATATATATATATATATATATATATATATATATATATATATATATATAAATTTCAAGAGGATAGAATCCAGGTAGAACTCAATATCCAGGATAGAGTAAGAATATAATATTTTGTTTTTATACCCGGTGTTATATTTTCCGATTTCTTTTTGAATTTGTAGGTCTGATGAATTAGATTGTGATTCTGATTCCTATGTAATAAATTATAACCATGGAATATTAGTGTTTGGGCCTTTATATATATATATATATATATATATATATATATATATATATATATATATACTCCTAATATAATTGCATTCTTTAGTTTATTACACAATCAAAGCCGACAAATTGTTTTTAAAAAAAAGCATGAAATAATTATAAATAAATATTGAAGCTCTAAATCAACCTTTATTTATTGCTTCTATGGAAGTAATACATGAATATATGAATAATTCAAGAAAAGCATTTTTTTTTACACAGAAATTTTTTCAAGATATTGTTTTTCTTGTTAAAGCAGACGTGAACTTTAATCGAGTAATTCAACCATGATTCGGATTAACATTTCGGATTAACATTTTGGTTCGACCGTGAATGAGGTGAGAATTGGAATGGTAAAAATGGCATAAAATAAAAAAAAATCTCTCTTTTACTGAGCCTTTCTCCATTCGAGAATAGTTACCCAGGAATTGACTAGCAAATAAAGAATTTCTGAAAGGTTTGCGAAAATAAGAAACGCTCATCTATTTTCAGACTACTGCACACCAACACGGTTTATTTATAACCAATATAATCCCTGTTGCAGACCGCTGCTCAAGCACATGTATCTTAGTTAAACAACCCACAAAGCCCATCTGTGGTTTATGGTGAGTGGACCTTAATTGCAGTTTCTGGAGAGAGAGCATCATCAATCGCTGAAAGCCTCGATTACGTTGACTTGTGATTTCTTGCTTGTCCAAGCATCGTCGAATAATTACTACTACTTATTTTCACTCACAAAGCTTCGTTCAACCCATGTTATCGGCCTGGGGTGGTATTTCCAGCATTCAGAAACGTTGGAAAGTGTCTGAGAATTATATCCAAGGCACTTACAAAGGTTTCTTCAAGTTTTGAACGCGGAGAAGCCGATAACCTAAAAAAAAAAAAAGAAAAATAAGTACAATAACAGGCTCGAGGAAACGAGCGTAATGAAATTTTAAACAGGGATTTAAGGGCAGAAAACGAACCACTCGAGGGCCAAGCTGACCCGATATCTACCGTGCTGAAACGACAGTGTAACCCGGATATAAGAGAGTTGTAGGGACCGGAGAAGAAGTCTCTTATATCCGGTTTTGGTCTATTTTGTTTAGGTAAGTATGGGCTCTAATTTGGGACCAGAGAAAATCTCTCTTATATCCGGGTTTCTCTTATATCCGGGTGTCTTATATCCGGGTTACACTGTATATGAAATAAACGTGGTCTCTTCGCCAAGCCAGGCTAGAGAAAATGACTCAAAACAACAATGATAAAAATTCCTTAGTAGCTAACGTTTCCTTTTTATACATAAGAATGACTTACAATAAAATTTATAAAATATTCAAGCCAGTAACGACGCAAGAAAATAAATAAACAAACAACTCTGAAGCGGCTGATGAGATATCACGTGATATCACGTGCGAAATTTCTTCTTTTTTTTTATTCTGAATCGTCTTACACTGTCACTTTATAGGTTAATGTGCCAGGTAATTTGTTGATGGTGATGACAGCAGAAAAGGCAATGACTGTTTTTGAACGGCTGATAAGTTATATGGAATTATATTTCTTTGTCTGCTTCATACTCTGTCAATGTATAAAGATACTGGGTTAAGACAATTCGTCAGTGGGAGTCTGTTATTATTAGAATACACCTTTAAGTGCTGAAACTAGATGCGTCGTCAGTGTTGTTGCTCCCATGTCACTAGAAGTTTCGGGTCTAAATAAACAACAGACTTCTTCGATGGGCGACCCGACCGAATATGATCAGTATTCGGCCCGCACCTAGAACAAAAATTGCCACTAGCTTTAGGACGCGAATTATATAAGTTGCCCCAGCAAAAAAAAAAAAAATCGAAGTTATAAATTAGGTATGCATGGTTGTAGTGATCTTCCTACTTGCGGCCAAGAATGGGTGTTTTTTGGAAGAATAGGAAAAACAAACCAATAAATATACTCATAAATACATCTACATATATACATATGTAAGCAAATATATGGATATAAATCCGACAGTATGAAAGAAAAATACAGAAAAAACAAAATTCTGAATATGCATTATATTGAATATTGCATCGTTTTTGAAATCATTTTTGGATTTGCATTGTAACGGGAAGGACTTTCAAGCTTGTTGAAGATATAAGAACCAATTGTTTCACTACGTATTCCAACATCAACGGAAGAGATTTCTTTAACTTTTTATAAAAATTTTTCAATCGACTTTTTGATATTTTAATTTTTGGAAATCATCTTCGAATACGTCTTAACAACATCGCCCACGAGACAACTACATGATCATATTTAAACAGAACGCTGATCTGTATAAAATTTCAGTTATCTGTTTGAATTAGTTGGGTTCTTATGTCCATCGTCTTTTGTGTTAAATTGTTATAAGTTATAATGTTAATTATGTTTAAATGAAAATGTCCATGAAGATGGTCTTAAATAGACCGAAACGTCCGACGTCGACTTTATTTTAACATTAATAATGCATATTCAGAATTTTGTTTTTTCTGTATTTTTCTTTCATATATACATATATACACTCACACACATTCACACACACACACATATATATATATATATATATACACACACAAAAAAAAAAACGATTTATTATATTGGCTCGCCTTGCGACTTGTCCTTTCTCTTCCCCCCCCTTTTAACTAACTTATTTGTTTGGTCTAAAAGGTTGGCGGATAATAAACTCAGGCGTACGCTAAACACTGGCGTACCTATCGCTTGTGCCGCTCGGGGCGTTCAAAGAATTTTCCATCCTTCTGAAATGGCACAACTAATTTTGCTAGCTACAACATTTTACTAAGTAACGCTAATACTGTGTCCAGAACCTACCAGCCGGAGGCTACCGCTCTTCCCGGCTTCCATCTAGGATATATATATAATCATAATATAATACATTTAAAAAAAAAAAGTATTACCAGCAATGCATGTGTCTCTTGACAAAAACCCTCTTTACAAAAATACTTCAATGAAACCTGATCTACAAACCGATTTCTTACAAAAAATACATATTCTATTCTTATGAATATATCCTAAAAGACTTGTCGGCATTAAATATGCCATTGAGTTTGATATGCCGTAAAATAAACGAAAACAAACCAAACCAAAAATATAAGGAATAATGAAAATACTTCAGCTGCGAAAACGAACAGAAGGAGTTTTAAA